GAAGAATCAAAACAGAAGATGAAGTGATAAGGCAAACAACATCTGACAGGACTAGAATACAGATACCTCCAGATAGTGCGAAGGAAACACAAAGGTCACATAACCCAGGGGGTAGCTTTGGAGTCAGGATATAAAAAGGAATTGTTTCCCACTAGGATCTGAGGGGCAGGATAGACTTTTAAAGGACATGGCCAATGATTCAGGTGAATGGGTTCTAATATGAGTGAGTGAGGTAAATAAAATCCTTGTCTTGGCCCAGATTTCCACATGCCATGTTGAGGGATGGAAAAGCAAATTCTAGAGGATTTTGAATGGAAACTTTGGCTAACAAATATCACAACTATGGAAGTAGAATTGACTTACTATCAAGCCCAAGACCAAGAAGTATTTTTAGGAAAAATGTTAAACAGGTAGACAAATAAACACCTATCAGCAGACAGCCAAATTATAAGAACATTTTTAAAGTGTTCTGTAATAATATTGTGATAATACTGTACATGCTATATTATTAATAATAATACTTCAAAATGTTAACTTTTTCATCTAATACAGAGCTCTTCCACTATTGTATGTTTACTTGAAAAACGTCATAAGTAAAACCCTTTTAAATATCTAAAAAGTTAATTGGGCATAGGAAGTTGGAGGTTAAAAACTACTAAGTTACAAGTTTGTTATGGGGCAGAGCATGGGGAATGAAGGAGAAAAAGATGGAAGCAAGGAAGGAAGGAAGGAAAGGAAGGAAGGAAAGGAAGGACAGAAGGAAGGAAGGAAGGACAGAAGGAAGGAAGAAAGGAAAGGAAAGAAGGAAGGAAAAGAAAGAAGGAAGGAAGGAAGGAAAAGAAGGAAGAAAGGAAGGAACATTGGGTCTTTTTCATAAAGATGGTGGCACAAAGCCAAGGCATGTTCTGGCTTTCTCACAAGTATCAATCAATTAATAAACATTCACCACACACCAACTCTGTATCAGGCATCATGCTATTTTAATAGATTTTGAAATTAAGTACATTCTATCCTTTCCATAGGGAAAAGTTTCTCTCTCTTCTTCTCTCCTTCAAAGATGCTTCATGATACCCTGACAGTATAATCATTTGCTATTCTCTTCTCATTAGGCATGCTTGTGGACACAGGCACCTCTATTTTTGTCCTATTTCAATAAAAATTATTGACTCAAACTTCACAATGAATGGCTCTGATATAACTGATTGTCCTCCTGGTGTGTAATAATACTCATAAAAAGAAATGGTAGATATAAGGAGACAAGATGAGAAAGTAGGCAGAAATTGCAATCTTCAAAGGAAACTGTTTAGCATTTATAACTTCCATAAACTTAACCTTGTATTTGGCAGGCACTTTATAGCTTTCCAATTTACTTTTTAATTGAGTCTTTTTGTTAGCCACGTTTTAGAGCTATAACTCAAAGTCTTCTTTCAAAACCATACTACTTTAATTTACTTCAATTGATCTCTGCTTATATTTATTATTCCAGTGCTCAACATATATCACTTTCCATTTGGTCAACTGCAAATGCAATTTACCATGCATCAAACTACTAACAAAGCAGATCTACATTAGTTAATATTTTATTTGAAGTGATCTCTCCACATTTGTGGTTAGCCCTGATCCTTGTTACTAACCATATTATGTAAGTCATCAAGTCACCGTGGCACCACTGAACTTGTTTATTTGCCTGTCTATCAAGTTTAGCCGTGCAAGTATAGAGTGACTTAAGGATAATAGAGGCATCAGGATCCAGTAATATCATCTCTGCAATAGGAATAATAGCAAACTTGCCACTTAACACTTAAATCACTTAAATAGATAACATTAATTATGTATAAGGCACTGTGAGGGAAGAAGGGAGGGGGTAAGGAAGGAAGGAAGGAAGAAAGAAAGAAGGAAAGAAAGAAAGAAAGAAAGAAAGAAAGAAAGAAAGAAAGAAAGAA